TTCTATAACATGGGGAGGAATCACGTTTGATTTTATGGGAGAGTATTTCATCCATGGGGTTGGGTGCAAATAAATAGGTAAATATACTTTGTTGGATGTAGAATTGAAGATTTTATGATGACAGATTAAAATCCCCAATTTGATCCAATTGATTGGAAACTGATGCGAGATTGTTAGCCCTCAGGTGACGGAGTAGTGGGAGCTCTAGAGTGGCAGTCGGTATCCTCCCAGCCTAACCTTAGGTACCAAACCCTGGATTAGTCAATGTTCTTTATGCACTCGGAAGAGGGTAAATGATATGATTACTCATATTTAGCACAAAATAGTTTTTATATATAAACTCAGCAAAATATTCTTTAATTTCTTAATTTTAATTTCTTAACAATCCATATACTCATTGTAAAGGTGAAGGATGCTTTCTTAAATTTGAACTTTTCGTTACAAAAATTTAGTTTGATTTTCGTAAGTTTACTGTTGAAAGTTTAGCATTTAGTTTAGTTAACTTTGTCTTTCAACTTCATTTTAATTAACATTCACTTGTTACTTAATATTCAAATTCAACTTCATTTTAATTAACATTCACTTGTTACTTAATATTCAAATTCAGCACTTTACTTTTTTTAGCTTTAAAAATTGTACTTTACTTTATAATCTTAACAATTTAGTTATAGGCATTTCCAACTTCCCTGTGAGATCGATATCTAGGACTCCATTAGAGTCCTTTATTACTTAAGTGATACGTATACTTGTGTTATCTTAAAAAAGGAATTTGGCAGTTTAAAGATTTTTAAAAGATATTTGCAAAATTAACATCACAATAGTTTAAAGATACGTATACTTGATACTTGTGTTATTTTGGTAGGATTAATTTGCTTATTCGCTATTGTATATATCGTGTGTATTTTATAACATTAAAAAATATTTGCAAAATTAACACACTAAATCCACCCGCATCAAATACCACTCAAATAATACCACAATAACCCCACAATAGTATCACAATAACACTATAGTAATCTGGTAATAATACTAAGTAACATGACAATAACACTGCAATAACATCAAGATAATACCACATAAAAACATAACGGAATTGCACCAACATTACATCAATAACACCACAATAACACCTCAATAAAACTTTAATACAACCAAAATACCACTTTATTAACACTGTAATAATCACCAAAATCCAACTACAAAAACCAAAAAAGCTTGAATTTTTTTCAAATTCAAATTATTAGATCCATTTTAAGGTAATATTTCTTTCCTTTGGGTTATATATTATTTTTTGAATGATGCATCTGATCATTTAGATAAAAATGTTCTCAGATATATGATGCATGCACAAAGAAAATTTTCCCACTAATTAAACTGCTTGCTAAAGCGTCCTTCAAGGAGTAAGGTTTAGGAGGAACAATTAGGCTCAGAGAACCAAAAACCCTAGAGTGCAATGGATCTCCATCAACTGGTTAAGTTGTGTCAATCATGAGGCTACTGATCTTCAAGTCTGCACAAAAGATCAGATGAAAAGTGAGCAAAATAAGCTAGAGAAAATGAAAAAAAAAATGAAACTCTATAAGGATCTAGAGAATCAACAGAGAGCGCTTTGGAGCGAAAGTTGAGTTCTTTGAAATCAAAATTTCTTATTAGTGTAAGTTTAGTTTTAGGTTTATTTTTCTTTCTATTCAATTTAAAGTTGAATTTAGCTTTAGAATTAGCTTATGATTAAATTGAGTTAAATTTAGGTTGGATTCAACTTAAGTTCACTTTAATTTACGTTTAGTTTGGTTAAAACTATATTTATTTTCGTATATTTGGTTTAGGTTTGAATTAGATTAAGTTTTAGAAAGGATAATCTTAGTTTTGATTGGGTCTAATTAATGTGTTATGTTTAACTTAGTTTTAGGTTTGATTAAGTTGGGTTTTACTTTAAATTAGCTTTAAGTTTTAATTCAGGTTAAACTTAACATAGTTTTCTTAGGTTAGACTTTATGTTAGATTATTTTAATTTAAAATTTAGACTAGGATGGATTAGGTTTAGGTTTAATTGAAGATTGAATTGAATTTAGTGTTTAATTTAGTTTTTAACTTACAATAGTTTAGGTTATAGTTTAGAATTAGGTCTAGGTTTCAATTAATTTTAGTTATTTTTTAGTTTCTATTTTAGTTTGGATTTAGTTTTAGGATAAATTAAGTTTTGGGTTTGGTTTAAATTTAATTAATATTTAGGATTTAATTAACCTTTAGGTATAATTTATTTAGGTTATACTTTATGTTTGATATAATTTAAATTATAGTCTTATGTTTAATATAGCTTTATTTTGGTTTTAGTTTTAGGTTAGTTTAGTTTTGGGTTCATCGGTAGCCAAGTAAGTTAGATAAGCATCAATAAATTAAGCCAGTTTGCTCAAATTAAACTTCGGCTCCCTAAGTTTCAAGGTGAACTTTCTATTAACTTCCTAACTGCATATATTGAGCTAGGGTGTAATCAACTCTCCTAGAATTATGCGAAGAGATTTGAGTCAACCAGATTAGAACCAACAAGCCACTTAGAGGCACTTGCAAAGATTCATAAGCCTTGGAGGGGAATTAGAGGTCTAATTAAATTTGTTTAACTAAAGGTGAGGTCAATAAAAACTTATTGTAAAAAGTATTTGGAAGGAACATAATACTTAAAAGTTAACTCTATATCCATAGGATGGAGAAAAACAAAATATTTGTCTACTCCAGAGTGTATATATACATTTTTATTTTTTGCAAATGTGGTCAATCTTATCTTAAACATCCACCCTATTTTTGACTCTTCAAGGAAAAAAGGGAGAGACTTTTAATTTTTAATCTTATTTTATTAGTTAATCATTCACACCTGATTTAAATAAAAAAATTATCTCATTTTTAATAGTTTTCATTGAGATTAGATGTATGAGGAATGTGACTCCCCATGAAATTTTCTCCCTTATATATGAGACTGAAGTTATACTACTCAACAAGATAATTCAACATGATTAGAATGTGAGACAATCTATAAAACTTGTAATATCTATAATTTCTCAACATATAATATGTCATAGCAAGAGTCTAAGTTGATCTCTATAAAAATACAACTCATCATTATTTAGGATTTTGGGTTTCTATCCATCCTTGGAACTTGAATAGTGAAGTTCTTGTGGTGTGGGATGTAAGTCGTAGCTCCTGCAATCACGAGAAAACTGAATTGGGTGACAAATTTTTTTTTTCATTCTGCTTTTTAGAGAGTTTCACTTTATCCTTCCTTCCTTTCGAGTACTTTGTTATATATGTGTTGTATTCGTGTTTGGATTGTTAATTTTTGCATAGGTTTGTTTGGGACAACCCCCAACATTTCTCTATTCCATTCGCGATTTGTAACCACTGGTTTGAGTGGTGCTCTAGTTGTATCTCACACATGAGGTGGTGATTATATTCCAAATACCCTTCTACCTATCCCCACATCAGTCTCGATGACTCTTCATTACTAGAGCCGCCCCCGAACACAACTCATTTTTGTTTTCACTACAATTTTCAATTCTAGTCGTCTTTTCTCATTGTCGCTATCGCGGAGAGCCTTCCTCTTGTTGTCCTGCAGTTCCCAGCATCCCCTTATGACTGGCGCCATCATTCCCTCTCATTGTCGCCACCTAGAACAGTCATTATACAATATTTCCCTCATTGTCAAGCCTTCGTTCTCATTGCCACCACCTAGGACAGCCACCATACTTGTTGTTCATGTAGCTTCACACCTTCCCCTCACTGCAACCAACACCCTTTGTTGTTGCCACACTTTGCACCCCATTAGCCACCTTTTGCTGCCTCTCTAAGGGTCCAAAACCTCGTTAATCACCACCACCATCCTGAGATCCACCTAAACTCAAGTTAGGCTTGTCATTTCTTGCAATTTTTTATTTCTAGCTTCCTTGGTTGTAAATTACTATTTGAATTTTGTAATAATAGTCAATTTTCGTTGTTGTTTGGTTAACTCTGGTATCATCTTGTCCCTAAAAGAATAGACGAGATGCATAATTTTTGTAAGTGAAGGTCTAATCATTGAACTATGAGTTTATTCACAATCCTCGAAAGCTTAAGGACTTTTTTAAGGTAGCTGCTATGTAACAAATTGGTCGAGCAAAAACAAAAAGAGAGTTTAAAAAGAATGAACAAGAAAGTTAAAATGAGAGTAGACAAAATTCAGAAGGCCTTGGGCAAGTATTAATAAGTATTAATAAGTATTAATAAGGATAAGAAAATTAAAAAAAAAAAAAAATTCTCCATCAATGGCTCAACCAATCCTTCAGCTTGAGAATACTCAAAGCAATTCCTGTATGGGCGCATCTTTAATTTTCTTTATTGAATTGTTCAAAAATACAAGTCTGAACAAGAGCTGCCAGGTGATTTAGAAAAAGTTGACAAGTAGAAGCACCCATCTTCAAATGATCATCCCTTCTACATCTATTTATAGGCTTTTATGGATGCTAACAAGTACACCCAATCAAAGCAATGTCGTCAACAAATTGAGAGCCTCATCACTCATCACTCATCACGTAAAACAAATTCTCACAAATGTTTTGGACAGTTACATACATATCACCCAATACCTATTTAGTTGCATATCCAATATCTATCCTTAACTTTTTATGTTTATATCACACAAATCATTTATATCACATCAAAAAATACCACCTTTAACATTTAAAAAGTTATATATATAGATATATTGAAATTTAGATGCTAGATGTTTAAACATTTAGGAATTGAGTGGCATGTATGTAGATCTTATTAAATTCTTTTGTTTTTTAATAAATAATAACATTATTCATATCTCTTGAATTTTTCAAAGATGCGAGAAGTTTAAGAGAGTACATGTACGGAAAAATATCTCAAAATTATGTTTCAAACATAGTCATCCTGACTCAGTATAGATGCAACACATTGGCCAAACTCAAACATGAACTCGCTAGGTTCCTTAAAACTGATCAAATTAATTGCAAATTCACCACGTCCACTATGATGAACCGGTATGGTTCAGTATGAACTCCGTCAGGTTTAACATAAACCCACCAAACAAAACATAAACTTGCCAAATCAAATCAAACCAAGATTGAGCAAAATTAAAGCATATTTAACTTGCAACTACAAAAGGTTTGAATTGAACAACCTGACTGCGTCGTGCAGCAGAGCATCATTCAGCAGAAATATCCCTGATCACATTAGCCTGATCATTCACAGATTTATAAAACCTACCAATATGCTCTCATTGCCAACCTTATATAATCTGAAAACTAAGAACTCAGGCGTGCCTTGTTAACCAATCCATCCCACAGAATAGGAAGGCTGGCCCTGAAACTGATAGTTGGAGTTGCTGCAATACCCACTGTTATGATTTATAGGAGTCCCCCGATCATCATCAGAATCACTGGAGGATGCCTGAGATGGTGGGCACAACGCAAATGTATGATTAAATCCAGACATCTGGGGCATAGCTAACGAGGGCTCATGAGTAACGGGTGCCGACTTTGGCCTTGGCTTTGGCTTCTTTTTGGCAAGAAAACTACCCACCACTACCTGAGAACAAGTAAAAACATATTATGGAATAGAATGAGTTTGTCAGCCAAACAAAAGAGTGAAGTACCTGAACAGGAGTTGCTGCCATCAATATTCCAGCTACTATGCCGCCAACAACATGACCATCAGTTCCCGCCAGTTTCACGCTCATGCAGCCAGTTCTACTACAGGTACCGTCATGTTCCGTGAGCACGAAAGAGCCTGACAGAGAGATTATCTCGAACCGACCCTGCAACAACAAAACGTCTTACAATAAAAGAATGTTGACTATATATCATCATCATTATTCTCACTATCCCTTTTAAATGATCTAAGGATAGTCTGTGGTACGATATCCAGCATATTCCCATGGTAACAGTTTAGGAAGAATGTAAATGAATCCAATAATGCCTATCAAGAATTCAAGGCAAACAGTTTTCGTAACACATATCACAGCCTTTCCAAGGAAAATGATAATTTAGACAAACTTTAGATGCGGCACATAATGATCAAAGTAGTGCTACCAAAAAAGCTCGTTGATCTGTCAAAAAAGCCCGTTGATCGTGAACAGCTAGTGTTCAGTAATCAATTAGTTCGTTAAGAAAATAAGTCAAACACGAAAATTTTTTTTAGCACAATTTACGAACACGAACAAAGATTTGTTCATTCGTGTTCGTCTCAATTTAGTTCAAATTAATTAAATAATAAGTAGATGATATTAGAATAATAATTATATATTAAAATTTTACATTATATTTGAAAAATATTCTATTTTATTAATTTTTAAAAAATTTTAATAAGCATTGTAAATCAAAATAAATATTGTGTTGGATATGTAAATACATAAGAATTAGGTGGTATGTCTGTAATTAATAGAAAAAACAGTTCCTGAATTAGTATCTTAGCGCCTTCGTGGGTTCACTCTCCCTCAAGAATGCAAATGATTTTGTAAATACATAAGAACTGCGTGGCATGTATGTAAATGCCTGAAAAAATTAAAGCCCTCCCGCCTCTCCAGCCACGTCGTGGTCCCGCACTCCCCCTACCATTAATTCCACATCGTGAAATTCTTAATAGCACCGACCTTAAATTCTATAAATAATGAATCCTCACTTTTCTCACACTTATTACACGATTTAGCTTTGATTGAGATTTGTTGAGCATTCAGGCCATGCGAATGTGATAATGGAAAATTTTAAAATAAAAATTAAATCTGAATATTAATAAATTATTATTTCAACCGAACAAATATGTTTGAATAGAAGCCGAACACAAATAGGCTATTCAAGAGCTATTTCAAACACGAGCCGAACAAAAACAAATAAAAAATCGAACAAGTTGAGGCCGGCTCACCTCGTTTACACCCCAGATCAAAGCCATCATCACCATGTTAAAGTCCAGATTTCTGTAACCAAAGTCATTGTGTTGTACTTGTGAGTGAATGCTTTCTTATGGATGGTGAGATATTATGTTATTTTCGTGTATTTTAAGTCATTAAGCCATGAGCCAATATGAAGTATTTGGGTTAGCGAATGGTATAAGATGGAGGGAAGGAAGAGTTGTCCCCACTCCCTTTGGCCATGCCCCCTTTTTATTTATTTCTTTATTTCTTTCTTTCCTTTTTCTTTTATGATGTTGATTGCCAAAACACAAATTTAACGTAGGCAAAAGCAATCCCAAGGCCTTGGCAAAAACTGCCATGAAATAGTACTTTTGTTCAAATCCTTGGAAAGTGAATTCCAAGGTTGGGAAGTCCCACATCAAGACAGATTATAATAGTGAGTTATTTTGTGCATCTATATACTTTTCCTTCATTGTTCTTGTTTTCTAAATACGAATTAAGACCTTCCATCAGCTTTTTTAAAAGCTTTTGCTTTATTGCATTTACAAAAGCTTGGTGAAAATCTAAACTTACAATAAATTTACTCATGTAGTAGTAAGAAATTTTTTATACAAACTTTATTATTGTCTCAAGCTTAAACTTACCAAATCTACTTTAAATTCCTTTCTCCGTGCTTACTTTCAATCTTCATAGCCTTTAGTTCTACTTGCTTATTTATCTTGAGTTATCATAGTTTGAGATTTTATTTTCGAATTTTAAAATGAAGATCACCCATTGTAATCATTGATAGGCTGCCTGATATCCTTTTTTCTTGAATCATAGAATTGTTATCAACGCATTAATCCTTTGCTTGTTTATTGTTTAGCTCATTATGCATTTGCATCGCATCATTTTATTTTTCTCCTCTTCAATGTTTCAATGACTATGTGGTCGACAATTTTCTCAGGATCAATCATCAAATTATCAAGATGAAATTTTAATGTCTTCTAGAACAGATTGAAGGGATGTCTCAAGCATTAGAACCTGCATAATAAGATTTATGCAACAGAGAAAAAAGACCTCAACAATCTAGTAATCCAGAACCTGATCATGAACAACCAGATAGCCTCGAGTAAGTGAAGGAATCCATTGCCTTGATCGAAATCCTCCCACACTAGCTCAGACATAAGAAGATTAAGCTTCCATTGAAGATGAGTATACTGTAAAAGAAGAAATTACAAACAACAGAGCCACGTCTTTTAGAAATTTTCCATTGAAGGATGCCTTTTCCACTTTGAGGAACCTTCCCAAATCAAAATAATCATAAACAAAAAGATGACATTACTGGAAGAGGGTAAAATTTATCGTCTTACTTGTGATCATCATCTTGATCCTACACAATTTGCATTGTTAACATGTATCTCTACTTTGATTGAATCACCATATCAGAGGACCAACATATTAGGTTTCTTCGAATGAATTTAATCAAAACAAGCTAAAATCTAACTGGTAAACCAAGAATGGTAATTCCAATGATCAACAAAATGAAATAAAAAATTAAGTGCTTCATTTCTGCCTGTGCTTTAGCTGAAAATATTTAAGCAAACAAATCCCTGGAAAAAAAAACTACCAATGTTGGGAAGTTCGATAACACGGCCAAAAAATTGTTTCGGTATAAACCTTTACATTTACCCCAAGTATCTTTCAAACCTTTACATCATTATTCTTCATTTTTAGATAACACTTAGGATGTTGTGACATTTTTTGTGTTAGTATCAGACTGGTGGAAATCTCAGCTTACTGATGATACATTTTTCGTAGAATTCTTCTAGTCAAGTCATTTGTTTAAGCTCCTTGGATTTATTTTAAAATTCTCTTTTGTGCTGCTAGCTTTTGAAATCTTCTGAGCAATCGGATCTGGTTGGTATTTTTTTCAAGTTATCTCAGTCTAAGTTTGAAAAAGTAACAATCGCACACTGTAATCGTTGATGGAACAACATAATAAATCATAGGTCGTCCTATATGTCAAATTTGATATAAACTTAGTTTCAGCTTTTAAAAAATGTACCGCCAAAAATTATAAGGTTCACACAACATAATTTCCGAAAACGAGTTTAGTTGACCTCTTAGAAGCAGCAAGGATCAGCGTGAAAATGAGTATGGTATTTAATTTACAATGATTCTGAAACAGAGAAATGGCTTATGAAAAAGAACACAATCGAAGTCATAAGCATCGAACCATATAAATAATTGCTAAGAGAACAATATCAAATCCAATATTTTCCAATCACAGTGTAATTGAGGGACATGGGACCATTTTTGTTTCAAAGAAAAGCAGTGTTTTCATAACCAAAATGTTCACAACTATTGTATCATATGTAGGCGAGAAATGCGCATCAACACATTATCATTAAAGGGTAAAAAAGATAATAAAGAACTTTCGACAAATATTAATAAGCATGCTGTCTATAACAAAATAGAGCCATTATCAAATTAGAACCAAAAAATATGAATAAAGCCTATGAAGAAGAAATTATTATAAGGGATTTAAAAAAACAGTACAAAATAAATTTAAAAGCCATGACAATTTTCACAATACAGAAAATATAAAAATTATAAAAAAAAATAACCTAAATTAATGCTTATAAATTATACCAGATATAAAAACATGCATATTTTGTTATATTAAGTCACAAAAATCGAAATTAAAACTTTTAACCAGAAATAGCAAATCAAAGCATTCGTTCTTAGACAAATGATCAGAGGGATGACTAAATAATTATTAATTAACATTTTGCCTTTCATTTTCATAGTCTGTACATCTATTAAGTAAAACTACTACCAGATATAAAAAACATACATATTTTGTTATATTTAAGGCGCAAAAGTCGAAATTAGAACTTTTAACCAGAAAAAACAAATCAAAGAATTCGTTCTTAGACAAATGATCAGAGGGATGACTAAAAAAAATCATTAATCACCATTTTGCCTTTCATTTTCATAGTCTGTACACATAACATGTAAGACTACAGCTTTCTTAAGAGACTCTTTTTCCTCTGATTCATCATGCTCCTTTCTTGAATTTTATCAAGTACATATGAAGGCGGTGATATACTTGCCCTATATGAAGATGATGAATCATGAGATGCAACTCATTGTCCACCACAAACAATCAAAAGTAACAACCCATCAAAAACATAATCATCCCAAGCCATCAAAAAAACCAACAAAACATCCATGAGAAAAATTACAGTAAAGTTCATCGTTCATACTGCAACATATCTACAAAATTTGAAGAAAGCAATCAGAACACTCAACATTAACGAATTTGGAACATTATTAAGTGCATCATTTGACGAAAGGGGGCAGGACACCAAGAAAAGGTTTAAAAATTCATCATTGCATCCACCGTATTTTTGTCGGTGGTAAGAATTTGGAACATTATTAAGTGCATGATTTGACGAAAGGGGGCGGGACACCAAGAAAAGGTTTAAAAATTCATCATTGCATCCACCGCATTTTTGTCGGTGGTAAATAACTCATCATAAGGCATGCATGCATGCACGCGCGCGCACACACACACACATACATACATTTATTTATAGATATATATATATATATATATATATCATTCGATAATAAACATAGCAAAAGTGATGTTTAAGTTTAAGTTTTCAACACCTCCATCACTTAAAATTCAATATATTATAAACATTTTAAATATAATATTTTTAAAGGAAATTAAACTAATCACCAAAAAAATCATCATATGTAGAAAAAACTTCTTTTCACCCATCAACATTATCATTATCTCCTAAATCATAATTTTATTTATCACTCTTGACCTCATTTTTCAATCAACATCTTCTCAGCTTATATCCAGTCTCATTGGGGGCATAGGACCTCCCTCCTAATGTCACTTGATAACT